CCCCCACCCCGGCTGCTTTCCTGCTTGGCAGACAGGTAGGGAGATGACAGATGTGGAAGCCCCCCCCCACGCCCTGGGTCCCCAGTCTGGTCCCAGGCACTGTGACAGCCCTCCTGGTTAACACATCGGGTTCCAGGAAAGGGACTCAGGGAGGGTGAGGGCCGCAACGAGTTGGGGCAGGAGCGAGCCCTCTTAAGCAAACACACTGAGCGCAGAAATGATTCCCATTCAAAGCACGACTTACGTGGGGCCTGGCTGGGCCTTCCAGGCACAGAGCCCTTTTCAAATACTCAGCTTCACCCCTGAATATGGCTGGGGGAGGGGGCGTGCAGGCTTAGCTGCATTTGAATTCCACTTCTTCCAGAGGCACCAGCTTCCTGGTGACCTACTCCAAGGAGCAGCCCAATCTCAAAGGACCCCCCCAGAGAAGAGAAAACCTTTGTCAACCCTTGTCAAGCCTGGAGGGCGGGAATACCTAGATCCTCTGGGGAAGCAGACTGAGAGCAACAGCAGCCCAGACCCTTAAATTCCCCAGCCCTGCTCCAGACAGATCATGAGGGACCCCCTGAAGCTCTGTTGTCCCATTTCACAGATGGTAAAACAGAGGCTCGGCATGTTTGTGACAACTGTCTCCCAAGCTCTAAATCTTCTCACAGCTGACATTGCTGTTGTCCTGAATCTACTCCCAGGAAGGTCAGGATGGAGCTCTTCGCACCAGGAGGCAAGACAGGGCAGCATTAGGGATGGTCCTTCCTCGCCAGTGACCCCAGCAGTCCTTACCACAAACCCGAGCTGGGGCAAACGCCCTCTTAGGCAAAAGCAGAGCATCACTGCAGCCAATGCTGCCCCCATGACAGGTCGGCTCTCCCTCCAGAACAATCTCAACTGGCCCACCCTAATCCAAGGTTTATCTCAATTCTAAATCCATCTCCTAACTGGCCTCTCCTTCAAACTCTTCTCACCTTCGCTGCCAAAGCAATCTCTCTCTGCGTTTTCTTTTTTTGTTATTTAAGGTTTATCTATTTATGCATACAGAACTGGGGGACAGGCCAGAGGTGCAGGGGCAGTGAGAGGATGTGCCAGAGACAGAATGATCCACAAAGTACACTACAGCAGGAGAGACAGGAGAGGTCTGCTGAGCCCTGTGGGGGCACCATGGTCACCTCCGGGCTAGACCAGGGATGGACTCCCACTGAAGCAGCTGTGATTAGCTTGCAGGGCTAATCCTGTTGTGCCACCAGGGAGGGCCCCTCTTTCTACATGCTTTCTACTTACAAAGGTAACTCATAACATTCATAGAAACTTGAAAAATCAAAAGACAGAAAGAAAAATCACCTTCATGATTCAACTGTAGCTTGACCACTGTAAACATTTCAAAGTAGCTTTCTAGCCCATTCTCTATGCCTGCGTGAATGCTGGGCATGTGTACAGAGATAATTATCAGCACAAGGCCAGCGTTACACAGTATGGGTGTAGAGCATCATTTCCATTACTTATGCATTTTCTAGATTGCATGCTGTTCTCCTAACCGGTGCTGTTTGGGTGTTGTTTTGATACAGGTGACACTTGCTCATGGTACTACCCTCAGAACTGGGTGAACACCACCTTTCTCCCCTTCCACTCCTCGGGCACCATTTCCCTCCCCTGGGGAAACTCTGACCACTATTGTGCACCAGTCTTTTAAAATCATAAATCAACAGATCCCTGGTGTCATAAATCAAGGGGTTAAGTCTCAGCATTATCAAGCTATATATAGCCAGCCGCTGCAGCATGAGTTCAATCCCCCGCCAGGAAGGTGACCCACATGGTGCAGCAGACCTCTCCTGTCTTGCCCACTGCTCCCCTCAGCAATGTATTTCAGTAGATCCGCTGTTCTGTTCCCCACTGTCTCTGGTAAATCCTCTCACCCCCCAACCCAACACTGGCCTACACCCCAGTTCTTGTACGCAAAAATAAAAATAAATCTTTGTAAAAAATCATAAATCAGATCACGTCACTCCCAGGACCTCAAGTGGCCCTGGCCATGAAGTCCAGATTCCTAACTGGTTTTACCAAGCCCTTGAGACTAGACTGGTGCTCTGACTTCTCTGCTCTTGTTCTAGTCCCAGGGATCTTTTATCTGCTGTTCTCCAGCCCGGAATCCCCTTCCTTCAGGTTTTTGTGCATCTGGTTGCGCGTGTCACCCTCGGGGCTCAGCTAAACTGCCCCCCTCCCTGCTGGCTGGCCTGGTCTCCCAGTCCAGTAGTCCAAGCCACACAGGTAGGTGCTCTCCACATCACCCTGCAGGATCCCTTTCATATCACATAGGAGCCGATAATATCATCTTGGTTACTTATTTTCAAGTTATTTATTGTCTGTGTCCTCACACAAAAGGAGGCCCCCTGAAAGCACATACCCTGCCTTGGGGTGTGGGGGGGGGAGGGGTGGCAAAAAATAGAAATTCGATAAATTTCTGTTAAAAAGAATGCAGATCGAACTATGGTGATGGCACACGGGTGATTTGGTGATGGGAAGCCCACGGGGATGACGGCTGAGATGGAAAAAGGTTCAAAATGATGTAAAAATAAACTACTATAATAATTGAAAAAAAAGGGCAGGTGACCACCACTCACAGCTATCCACTTGCAAGCTAAGCACGAAAGAACCACGCATCATGCTCCTGTTACCAGCTCACCCCCAACCTGTGCTGCACACCTACGGACTCAGACTAGGAGCAGTGACAAACCTAACTCCTAGAGAACACTCTCCCTGCAAGTGCCAAGTGAGAGTGTTTTGCCCCTCCCTTACCCAAAGCCCTACAGCCAGTCTGCCCTACAGCCAGGCAGCAGGGATGTTCCAGGTTCCCAAGTGAGCCCCAGGCACAAACACTGCCCAAGGAGCTCAGCTCCCCCAGGAACATTCCAGCCCTACTCCACCTGCCTCTTCCCCAGGGACCCAGACACCTGGGCTCCTCTCTCCGGAAATTCATCCAGCCCCTGAGAGACACAAATGCACATCCAATCCTGAGCCAGCAGCCCTGGACGGGATACTCAGGGGACACAGTGTGGAGAAGCTTCCTTCCTGGAGCCTGATGGGTGTGTCCAATTTTTAAGAATGAGGGAAAGGAGGGATCCGCATGCCTTTCACAAAAATTGGAAGGAAGGGCAAAAAGAAAAGATAAAAGAGGTAACGAGATGGAAGTAGAGGAGAGATCTGAAAAGTCAAGATCTGGGAGGGTGGGAAGAAATGTGAGGTTTTCCCATCCCAGACGTGAACAATTATTATAATTGATTAAATGAGCATAATCGCCAAGTGCCCTTCTGGGTGCTGTGCAGGTCAGTTAAGTCATAGTGGCAACAACAGCTGGCATTGCTCCAGTACTTACTATTGATACCAGGACTGTTTTCTGAGCTGTTTTCTTAAGACCTTTAACCCCCAACAACCCCAGAGGGTAGGTAGCCTTCATATTAGGCCCATTTTACAGACCGGATTCAAGGTCACGGCCCCAGTGGCATTATCTAAGACCTAAGGCCAGAGCCTCTGGCTCTTAACCACTCAAAATCTAGAAAAAAATAAATAAGAGACTGGAGCAAGCTCACGCTGCCCATAATGAGCATCAAGATCACAATGTGCCGAATCCCAGCATCTCTCGGGCTACTTCCGAAGGGGCATGGCGGGACCCTGGGTCGCTGAAACTCCGCCCCGTGCAGCCGCATCTTCTCGGCTGCCTTTCGTCAGACCCCTGCACCAGCGCCAGCGCCGAGGCACCCTGCCCGGAAATTCCCACAGAGTCAAAGCAAACTTCCCAGGAAAACTCCTCGGCTTCCTCCTAGCCCCTGTCACCGAGGCGGCTGCCAAGAGAGCCGCTGGAGACTTTGCAGCTGCCGTCGGCCCTCCCGGGCGGGAGCCGCCGCTCGTGCGCTCGGGGTCCTCCCGGAAAGGTCCAGGGCTGAAGTTCAAAATTCACTTCCCGCCCAGGCACGGCTCCCCGCCCCACCCGGGACGCTCTGGCAGCCCCCACGACTCGGGGGCTCTCCAGCGCCGGGCAAGTCATGGGGCGCCCACTGCCTGGGAGGCCGGCGGGCAGCGGCAGCCTCCTGCGGGGATCCCTGCGTGTCTGGGGACTCCAAGCAGCCGGCGGGCGCGCGCGCGCGCGCACACACAGACACACACACGTCTGGGATTCAAGCGGCCGGCGCGCGCGCAGACACGCGTGCGCGCGCGTGTGCGTGTGTGTATGTGTGTGTGTGTGTGGTGTGGTGTGTGTGTGTGTGTTTACGTACGGAACGCGCGGGTGGGAAAACAATGGCGAGCCGCTGGGAACAGAGCAACTAGCCCCACTCCCCACCTCCTCACCCCTCCACCCCCGGGCACGATGTGCTTTTGCAGGGAATCAGAAAGAAGACTCACCCCCGACATCCTAAGGCCGAGGTGGGGGGCTCTTAACAAGGCCAGGGTGGGAGGTGGGGGGCGGTGAAACGGGAGCAGCCCCAGCAGAAAACAAACAGGATGCAGCGCCCGGCTGGTCCGCTGGGGAACGAACCTGGACGATGGGAAGGGCTGCGGGGCTGGCAACCCGCACAACCCGGGCGAGGGGGGATCGGTCTGGGGTCCTGCACCCGAGCCCCACGTGGGGCGCGCAGAGGTCGCCCCGGCTTCCTCTGGGAACCCCTGAACTCCGCGCCTAGATAGGGCGGTGAGAAAGACCAAGTGCTCGGGCCAGTCCGTGAGGAGCGGACGCGGGGCGGGGGGCTCCCCAAGCTCGACTCGCGCGCTGCGCACAGCCACTTACGGCCTCACCCGGCTGCCACCCCCACCGCACCGACTCAGGTCTGGCCGCGGGGAACCGCTACTGGCCGGCGTTTGGGGGTGGGGGCTGGTGGGGGTTCGTCCCTTCTCGAAAAACTTTGCGCAGGGTGCAAACTCGCTGATCCGAGAGCCGGCGTGTGCCCAGAAACGCGGGGGCGGGAGTGTCAAACTTCGGAGGGCTGGGAAGAGGGGCGCGAAGGGGGCGCACTTACTACTCAGCCAGGCGCTGGGCTCGGGGTTCCGGGTCCGCGCTCCTGCTCCTCCTCCGTCCGAGTCCTGGCGGCTGGCAGCCCGGGCTTCCCGCTCACATGCCCCGGAGACGCAGCGGACCGGCGCGCGGGGCTGGGGCGGCTGGGCTGGGAGGGGGCACGCCCCCCGCCGTCGGCCGGGGAGTCGCTGCGGACTTGTGGCCACCCTGGGTCCGCGCCCCACGACGGGCCGGCGTCCGGGGCGGAGAGCTGGGTTCCGGCCGGGCGGCGCCCTCGGCCAAGCCAGGCCGCTCTCTGCACTCTGCCCTCTGCCCTCCGCTCGCGGCCGGCTCCCTGCCTTCCGCGGTCCTGCTCCCCGACTCGCCCGGACGCGGCGCGGGCCCGCCCGCCGGCTCCCTGCTCCCGGCTCGGCGAGGAATCGGCCTCGCAGGCTGACCGCAGCGTGAGCCTCGGGCTCAGACCCGAGCTCGCCGCCCCTGGGCCGGGGGGCCGGGAACCACGCTCAGACAGTTCAGTTCCAAGCCGGGACTGCGAGCCGGGCGCTCGCTGCTCTCGGCTGCGAGGCGACTCCACAGCCACAGAGGAGAAAGAGGGAGGGAGACAGAGCGAGCCGGGGGAGGAGGAGGGAGGAAGGGTGGGGAGGTGGAGAAGGAGGGAGGGACACAGAGTTCCCTCCTCCTCCCTGCAGCCAGGTCCATCCCGGCTCCGACAGCTGGAAACCTCTGTCGGAAAGGGGAGAGCTGGGGTTCCCGGGTGGCGCGGATGGGGGCAGGGGGTGGGGGTGGCGGGGCGGGGCGAACGGGCGAGATGGACGCTGCCCACTCCCACTGCCCAGGTATGAGGGTCTCTACGAGAATCTTATCCTTCGAACAAGATCCAAGAAGTTGGAACTCCAGCTCCCAGCCTCCTAATCCCTACAGACAGGTAATCTTGATTTAGGGTTTGTAAAAAGCCCATTTCAGGCTCTCCCTTAGAAACTTGATCCCTCTTGCAGCTAGGGAACTTCCTAATGTCTCCGATCACTCCCTACCCTGTCCTCCTGCAATCTCTCAAACAAGTCTCAAGCACCACCACCACCACCCCCCTTCTAGATAAGGTAGTGGATTCCTTTAATTCGATGTGTTGCGTAAATGCCTACAATATATCTAGCCCGCAAATAAATGATGTGGCCAGCAAGGGTCATGAGATGATGGAGGGAAGGGCTTTGGATGTCGTCATTCCCCATCTCCTCCCTTGGCTAGCTCCTTTTATTCATATTTTAGGTGTCAGCCCAAATGGCAACTCTTCCAGATAGTCTGGTAACCACCACCACCCCTCCCCTCCCCACTGGACTGGAAGCTCTTCCAGGCCAAGGATGTGTCTCTGGCTCACAGGGAGATCCGTGTGCCCAGCTACCATGGGCAGAGGCCTTGATGAATATGTGTCTGGCAATTGATTGAAGGCAGCAGGGAGTCCCTGACAGACTCTTTAGCAGGGTCTCTGATAAGATGGATCTAGCTGGAGGCAAGAGGACGGTTACCAGGGTTACCAGACAGGGGCAACAGCCAGGGTAAAATGATGCCACTGGGAGCTAAGGCAAGGGGGGAGGGTGGAAGATGGAAACAGGACTGGGTAAAGTGGTAGGAGAAGGCAATACGAATTGTCAAGGGCTGACCTTTGGAAGACTAAAGCTATTTTAGACACCAGGAAGGGGGTTACCCAGATGCCATCAAGCCTTTCCTCCTCCCAGCCATCATGACTGGGCTTTCTACCTATCTGGTTGCTTGTCTGTCCCCTGTCGGCTTCAGTCGACAACCTGATCATGGGTGGCTAGCCTTAGCCACAACAGATGGACAGAGGAGGAACAAACAGGTGGAAGTTGGGCCCTTCTCCAAAGACCCTGTCCACCCACTATCGTGCTCTTCCTGGGTTGAGCTATTTCCCACTGTGCCCACTTCTTAGGCACAAGACTCTTTATTCCAGTTCTACAAGGGCGGTATTATTAAACCCATTTTCAAGGTGAGAAAAACAAAGCCTAAGGTCAAAGCCACTAAGTGATAGTTATCTGACTGAAGTTATCTCACTGAAGTTTCTAGACCATCTTATACCACCACAGTAGTTCCCAGGAACACCCACTAAATTTACACCATTTAACCAGTTGACCACACCCTCCTTGAAAGACTCACTTTACAACTTCACACATGCCTGCATTTCTCCTGACCTCACTGTAGTCCTTCCCTAGCTCTCTTATATTCCATCCTCCACCCTTGCCTCCCCGTGACTCTCCTGGGCTCCTTTTCTTCTGTCTTTTCTCCCTGGGTGAAGTTTTATCCAGTTATGGACCTCTCTGGTGGTACAATGAGCTAGCGCACAGCACTGCAAGCCAGCCCCAACAGCTTCAGTTTGATCCCCGGCCCCAGGGGTGACCCACATGGCGCAGCAGACCTCTCCTGACCCGCCCGCTGCTCCCCTCAGCAGTGAACTTCATCTGTCTGCCTGTTCTGCTCCCCACTCTGTCTCTGGTGAATCCTCTCATCGCCCCTGCACCTCTGGCCTGTACCCCAATTCTGTATGCATAAATAAATAAATATTTAATAAATAAATAAATTTGAGTGCCCAATGTTTTATTTAAACCTCCAAGACTGTCTAATGCACTTCAGACTCATGGGTCCCATCATGCACTCAACCTTTTTACTCAAGGATCTCACAGAAATCTGAAACCTAACATGTTCAAAATTGAACCTTTAACCATCTGCCCACTTCCCTGGGTTTTTTTCCAATTTTTTTTCCAATTTATGCATATAAGAACTGGGGTGTCGAGCAGAGGGGTAAGGGGATCCAACAGAGACACAATGGGGAACAGAACAGGCAGACCCACTGAAATACACTGCTGAGAGGAGCATCAGGCGAGACAGGAGAGGTCTGCTGCACCATGTCAGTCAACTCTGGCTGGAAACCAGACTCAGGCTGTGGCTAGTGATAACTTGATAGTGCTGCACCCTGTTTATACCTTATACTGTCTTTCCTATGTCAGTAAATGGTACCACCCAGAGACTAGGGCCTAAAACCTAGAAGTCATCCTTGATTCCTCCTTTCCCATAGAGTGAAATTAGTGAGCCCTGTTGATCTATCTCCAGTTACAGTCCATCCACCTGTCTGTCTTCACTGTCCCCATCCAGCCGACGTCATCATCTTCTAGCCTGACTCTGGCACCCTTCCCGTCTCTGAGAACTGACACCACCTGCAGCCATATCACTGAGCTGCTTACATTGACATGACTTTGAAATTTCTCTGCCCAAGAAGATAAGAAATAAATGGGTACAAAACTTCATTATTTGCTTCTAGAACTTTATGAAAATCATTTCAGCTGAACAATAGCCTGCCCAATCAGTCCCTTTCTTGGGACAGTAGTTGCTTAGGGCCTTCCTAGTGTTTATGGGTGAAGTCTCAGTGCTACCACCATGAGGGCCTGAGTTTGATCCCCAGCCAGGGAGCTGACCCACAGGGCACAGCAGACCTCTCCTGTCTCGCTTGCTGTTCCCCTCACCAGCGTGTTTCAGTTCTGTTCCCCAATCTGTCTCTGGTGAATCCTCTCACCCTTGCACCTCTGACCCACACCCCAGTTTTTCAACACAGGTTATCAAACAACTATTTTTCAAAATTGTCCCTTCACTTCAGCCTTCAATCCTAATCTGTCTCCCAACCGCAAGGTCCCAACCACATCTCCATATTGAAAGATACCTTTCAACCAGACTGCAAGCCCTATGCAATAGCCCTTTATCTAGAAAGCACTTCAGCAAGTTCTACTCTTCCTGGAGCCTGCTCCCTTTCGCCCCTGGGCTCACCACGCATCTTCCTTTTCCCATCTACAAGTATTTTCCCCCATTATTCTTCTCCGTGCCTTCTATCGCCATCACAACATTTCTATGTTTTCTTGTGCTTTTTCTTCCTCCCCTTTAGACTGTGAGGGAAGAACCTGTCTGTTCTGTTTTTCCATTTACATTCCAGAGGCCATAGTAGATGCTTTAAAAATACTGAACAAGTGACTGATGGGCTTGAGTGGGTGGGGTCGCCTGCCTGCTTCCGGTGGCCACCAAGCCCACTCCTGAGACACTGTTGGGGTGGGAGTGCCCAAAGGTGATGGGATTCTCCACACTGCCTTTAACCTCCGAGATCAGAGACAAAGCACAAAATGCAATACCTTTGGGGGAGCAATAAAAGGATTAAATTCACAGAATGGTGTGAATTGCTTTCCTCAGAATGGAGGCAGGTGAGGGACAGAGCCTCCCTACACCCCCTCTTACTACTTTGTCTGGATTCGTGACAAAGGTCACTTTCTCCATGAAGCCCACAGCAGGATGCTTGTCAGCCCAGCCAGGTGGAACCTGTTTGGGTACCACCTCTTCCTTGTTCGACTGACTGAGGAGGGGCTTTTCTAGACAGAGCGCCAGAAATTTGAGTTGGGCTATGCTTCACTCAGGTAGAGGACTCTTCAGAGGCAGGCTTTCCTTCAGACTGACTGGGGGGCCGCTCTCCAGCTCTGCCCAAGTCTTTTTCAGATTCACTCTTGAGTCTGGTAGCTCATCAAGAAAGTTACAGAAGATCAGGGAGGAACCAGCCATCCTGACTCCTCCCAGGTTTTGTTGACAGGACAGAGAGAGCTCTTGCCCAGAGCTGGTGCTTTGCACACATGGTCCCCTTTAACCTACTGTTACAGGGCAGGGAGAGAGACACGGCTGATCCCCCAAAACCTGCCTGCTCTAAATAGGTTCTGCCATCACCCACATCAAGACAAAACATGTAAGACCTTTAATGGCAAGGAATTTTAATACAATCAGTGTGCAATACAGAAAAGTCAAAGACTATAGTTTCTCAATCAAACACCCAGATACCTGTTCCCTCGTGGGTAAAAGTCTACCCAAAAGGGATTGGCCCAAAGCAAGGCCTGAAAGCTCCCCACAAGCCTAAAGCACCTTCTAGAGGGGACCCATAGAAAAAGGTCAGAAATGGCCAGACAGGTCTGGGAGGAAAAGAACAAAATCAAGATAGACACTGCCATCGTCACCCCCCATGGGTCTCTCACCCACATCTGTTTCACCCAGTCCAGGGCCAAGAAGAAGCAAGAGCTGCTTCTTCACATGTCTCTGCTCCCTGTGCCTCCCTCAGGTCTCCTTCTGGCCTCCATCCTGCTTCCTTCCTCCACAGTCTCCTTTCCAGATTCTCCTCCCTGCTCAGCTCCACTCCTTCTGGGTGCAGCAGGGAACCTGGAACCTTCCCTTTTCCTGCAGACCCCCCTGTTACAATACTAGCAACTGAGAGAAGATGAGGACGGTTCCGTTTTACAGATGAGGATAACAGCACCAAGAGCTCTTACCCCAAGACCGAGTGGTCAGGGGTAAGAGTTGGTATTTGAAGGCCCTCAGATCCTTCCTGCTTGGCTTCTTATGGGGTTTGGGGGCCTTCGAGGCCAACTCAGATAAACTAGCACTGAGTAGTAGCCAACAGCCTCCATTCCAGCCTACACCGAGTAGAAGGGGTTCTCCACTTTTGGTGGGTGGCCTGCCTTTTCTCTCCCAAGTGGACGATCTTCTCCCCAGGACAGAGGAC